GTGTCTCCCATTTACAAATATTTACTTATAAGTATATTTATGACATTTTCAGAATTTTTCATCCTATAAATGTCATGACCCAAAATAAAAGAGCCAAAATAATGTATCTATCTATCCTTTACAAATGCCTTCCCAAGCCCTAAACTCCCTTAGCGATCCTGCAATTACCTAATTAATCCCCAACAAAACCATAGACCATGGTACAATGTTATAAACCATCAGACACCAAAGAAGAACATGTTTGCAAGACTTAGCAGCTTTTTTACATAGGTAACAGCTATTAACTAAGGTTCAACCCTTTCTCATCAGATTGTCAATGGTCAAAATACACTCTCCTTCCACTTTCCATGCCAAAAAGCAATTCGAACATCAATATCGTCACATCATCAATATCAATATCATCAATAAAAAAAAATTCAGGCTTGTTATCCAGGAACTTATTCAGAAATGTTGAAATGAAAGGAACACAGGAGTTTGTTGCTAGGTATTTGACCAAATAGGATCATCCAATTCCTATAGAACCTAGCACTAAAATACCCCTAGAGACGGAGCATTCACCTTCTAGATCTGATTAATAGAAAATTGATCCAACCCCCCTTCATCTCTTCCCTTCAGGAACTTGTAGAAAGACTTAACAGTGAACTCCACCTGCTTACGGAGCATTCACCTTCTAGATCTGATTAATAGAAAATTGATCCAACCCCCCTTCATCTCTTCCCTTCAGGAACTTGTAGAAAGACTTAACAGTGAACTCCACCTGCTTTTTCAACTTCCACACAAGCTGATCCCTGATGTCATCCAAGTGCACAGCGGATAAAAGATAAAGCAGTTTCTCATATTATTCAATCTCCCAATCATTCAGGTTTTCTATCACATTCAATGAGCAGACATGAGACATAAAGTGCCAATCTTGACAGAGGAGAGGAAAACAGGTCAAAAGGTGATGAAATTGAGAGAGGAAGCCAGCTAAAAGGTGATGAAGTTGAGAGAGGATGCTGACTGCATGCTGGTGCAAATTCTATTTTTGGAATAAGAAACTAACAATCAGTAGAGTAGAGGAGGCTTGAATTTTTTTTTAAATATAAGTCTTATACATGAACAAGTATGAAATATATTGAAGATGATTTTATTTATTAAGCATATATGCTATTTATAATGAAACAAAGTAGAGTTCTACTCTACATGAGTGTCTACATTTATAGTCTAAGAAAACTTGGGTCCTATAATCCTAATGGTACAAAAATTATAACATTATGATACATTCAAATTATAGTACAGCTTAAATTTTACTCCTTCAATAAGTTGGTTTGTTAAGAGATTTGATGGATCCTTGTTAAATATTTAATTATCTTTTTAGACTTGCTTTGGATTGTTGTCAAATCCTCTGCTTTTGGAAGCCTAGCATTTGTTGTTTCTGTACTTCCAGTTGGGCGTATCGTTGTGAATCTTTGAGGA